GACAGTTTTCCTTACCAGTTGATACAGACCAAGGAAGTTGACTGCTGTCAATTACTGATGAGGGGGCTCACATCCACAGGACATGGCTCAGTGACAAAGGGAAATGATAGGCCTACAGAAAAATCTGTATTTTTGACCAAGGCTGTGCACACTGGAGTGCAATGCGTATCCAAGATTGCCACACTCCTCTGAAGGAAATAAAAACCATAGCTGCAAGTGGTTGTTTGTTTAAGTCTTACTTGTTATGGGAGTTCAAAAAACCTTTACTTCTAATTCTGAGTTACTAYAGGACTCCCACAAGGATGGGAAACATTCCCAGAGCAGGCAGGTAGACCTGCCTGCTTCATATTTTCCCACTGGGAGCTGGTGATGGTTGTTTGCTGCTATCATTGTCAGCATTTTGTTTAAACTTCTTGCWATAACTGAACTCCTCCACGAGTAATCCTGCTGGCTGCTGCTGTGGGTTCTTCCTTCTGAGGAATCACACCAAATGCAATCAAGCTTGGACAGCTTCCTAAGCCATCTCCTTCATCTCAACCACAAAGGMGAGAGCTCTTGAGCAGCCCCTTACACAGCAGAAAGGGAAGGCTCCCCCCTCTGCAGAAACACTCGTGTGGGAGAGAAGATCAGAGCTGGGGATTGCCGGGCACTGATGTCTCTTTATGGCTTTTCCCAGCAGTTTGGTGCATGAGAAAACTCCTTTCCTGGGATTGCATAATTAGAGGAAGGGAAATGAGATCTCAGGGAGGGACTGAGAGATCATGGGGCAAAACTCCAASTCTAGCTCTTCTTACTAATCCATCTTATGTCATCTTCATTCRCACTTCAACTTCTTTTCCATGACATGTCTATTAGGATTCATTCAGGAGAAAGTCAGAGTGACTCAGATATCTTTCCTTTGGCTTAAGAGYTGTCTGGACTTTAACAAGTCCAGCCAGCCATTAGACATTGAGAAACCAGAACTGAGCTGGCGTCTTCTGGGAGCAGAAGATCCGAGGAAGGCTCAGAATGGTCCTGGAGGAACCTAACTGGGAGAAGATGTCCTACGGCTCCTGCTAGGGTCTCTATAGCAGCAGTACAGGAGGGCTATTTGAAGAGAGAAAACTGAATTTCCATTTCCATCTTTCACTGTCCCCTGGTGTCCCAGGCAGTGATCTATTTGAGACAGATGGGGAAATTTGTYCAAATACAGAATGGCTGATTTTGTATGTGCAGGTTCAGCCCATGGGAATCCACAGCTCTGGGGAAATCCTGTTTTATCTTTGCAAAAATGCACTCCCATGTGGCAAAGAAATGGAAGCAGTGATGGTGGGAAACATGACTTTAAARCTAAATGTCCTCTAAAAATGGCATTACCATGATAGTTAACTCATCTGCTGGGGAGTGCTGCAGGGGCAYCAAGATGCTCAGAGGGCTGGAGCTCCTCTGCTSTGGAGACAGGCTGAGGGAGTTGGGCTTGCTCAATCTGAAGAAGACYCCAAGGAGACCTTATGGCACCTTCCAGTTCCTAAAGGGGCTATAAGGGARCTGGACAGGGAATTTTGACAAGGACTTGTAGGAAYAGGACAAGRGGGAATGGCTTCARACTGTTAGACCGGGGGAAGTTTTCGATTAGAATTTAGGAAGAAATTATTGAATGGGTGGTGAGATGCTGGTACAGCTGTTTGAAGTAGCTAAGAATCAGATGCATAACTAATTTTTGTATTAGCATCACATCAGGGCTAATCCCTACCCCCAGATCACCCAGAACTGCCAGCCCTCTCCTTGTCATGACTTTGGCCAACTGCATCAAACTGGGCAAGATTTTTTTTATATATATCAGCACATGCATATGTGTAATCTATCTATCTATCTATCTATCTATCTATCTATCTATCTATCTATCTATCTATCTATCTATCTACCTATCTAATCTATAGCTATTATATACTAGCTGGATCTCAGCCAGAGGATTTAATTCCCAATGTCTTCAGCTTTGAACTGGCATTTTGGTTTACTAAAGGCTAACTTTGACATGGCAAAGGCCTAACAAGAGGCATGGAAAAAATGAACAAAATGGAAAATTAAACAAAAGTTTCCAGCCTAACGACTTCCCCTACTCTGAACTATAAAAACTGAATGGTGTAAAGACCCAGCTGAATGGATCTGTACAAGGGACTGTTCATGTCTAGAGATATCACAGTGAACTTTATGTGGAAAATCACAGCCCAGATTGAAGGGTTTTCCCATGATTTTCCCCAAAAAACATTTGGCTCTGCTGAGTCCTGAGCACATATTTCCTCTCTCTGGCTCCCTGGGGCTGCTCCTTGGCAGAGCTCTCACAGTCTGATGGTGATTCCCGAAAAGCACCTCCTGAGACAGGCGCAGAGTGAGCACATATCCCGGATAAGCCACACTCGGAAATGCAGAGGGTGGAGAGGAACAGCTGAAACATCTTCCTGGTGCCCCCAGGATCTCCTGTCTCGAGCCCCAGCCCCTCTGACCAGAGCTGTATTTGCTGGGCAGGGAGGTCACCCAGCAAATCTTCATGCACCGATTGATGTGCTTGGAAAAAGCAGCTGAACAGAACAAAAAACCACTTTTCACCACTTTTTCATCACAAAGAGATGCCAAATACAAATCTCAGCACCAGGTTTACTGGAGGGCTGTGGTCTGAGCAAACCCTGATCATCGTCATGGGGCAAGTGGGGTATTTCAGCACTACTAAAGTAAACATCAGAGATGTCTGATTGCACCTTATTAACCTAAACTTTTTAAGAAACAAGTAACCACACATCTTGGGACAGGCGACTAACACACAAGGGGTGCAATAAGCTGACTATGAGAAGCTGCAGCCAGCTGCAGGATTTGTCCTCTGTGACTCATGGATCTTGCAGTCCCTTTTGCCTTTTCCAGTGTCATGGCACCATGACCAGAGGCACTTGACACCCTGAGATAAGCTCGGTTGGTTTGAGCCTGGTGATAAAAATGCCAKGGTGGTGGGTTCAATCCCCATATAGGCCATTCACCTAAGAGCTGGACTTGATGATCCCTGTGAGACCTTTYCAGTTCAGAATATTCTGTGAATCTGTGACTTCTGATTCTCTTTCCAGTACCACCATAATGACTCAAGCCACTATGTACCACTACATCTAACAGCCAAGAAATTCTGATGCAGGGCTGCTCTTCCACAGCCCCRGGCATTGTCTGTCCTCCAGTGGTGGGGTTCAGTTGTCCAAACTGTAGATTTATATCTGGTTTTGTTTGGGATTTTTTAAAATTTTATTCCATTTCAGGGGTAGCACCGCGCAATTTGTAAGTTCCAATCTCCTGCCTGCTGGCATTGCTCAAACTTGGGTGCTGCCTCATCCTACCTGCACCCTGGGGTGCTGGAGCTGACCTTGGCCCTGAACGCCTGGAAAACTGAGTGAAGGCCRTGTTCAGGAATAGAACTCACCCCTGCAAATACAGCCCTGCAGATGTCAGGGCTGGAAACAAGATTGTGCTGTGAGCGTAACTCTGGGGTGATCCCCCAGAAAGCAAAGCAACGACAAGGAATTTTAGCCAGGGGGGATGCAAAGCAGCAGGAAGGCGGACTGTGTGTGCGTGCAAAGCCGGCGCGACAGCTACCCCCTCCTTTTCCCCTGTTAAGGGGGGGTCCGCCAGCTCTGGAGTGGCACAGTCTAGCGCAAGTCCTGCCTCCTGCCTCCTTCCTCCTCCTCCTTCTCCTCCTCCTCCTCCTCCTCCTCCTCCTCCTCCCAGATGTTCCCTTGTGTGCAGCCATCTGTTGAGCTCCCTCCTCCCTCCTCCTGCTGGGAAGGGGGCAGCCAGCTTGCCCGGCCAGCTGCACGCCTTGGACGAGGAGGAGGGAGAAGGAGGAGAGAAGAAGGGGACAGTCGGCCCCAAGCCCTGCTGCTGCCGGCTCCCGGCGGCGCCCGCTCCCGCCGTGGGAACCAGGCTGCGCTGCCGCCCCGCCGTGGGAACCGGCCCGGCGCTGGGGAGCGACCCCGGCCCCGGTGAGTCCCTCCCTCTGCCCGCACCCCCTCCCTGACCCCCATCCCTTCCTTGCGCCTTCTCTCCCCTCCCTGGCCCCCGCGTGCCCTCTCGGCACGCCCCCAACACTTCCCCACTTGTGCAGAGCCGTGGGGCTCATTTTTGGGGAGGGGGGAAGCTGTGCCTGGATGGGCTGAGCCCTTCCCGCCGCCTCTCCGGGGATGCGGGGAGCCGGTCCCGGGGGTGCCTGCTGGGGAGCCCTCCCCGATTCCAGAGTGCGGAAACTTTTTTCGGTGTGATGAGTTTTTCCTCGCGCGGGGGCTCAGCGGCCGGGGCGGGACAGAGSTCTCGAGTGGAGGTAAACTACTTTTCCCCCACCCATGTTTTTTTCCAGAGGGGGAACTTTGAGATGCGGTGGGTGCGTAAGAGCCCCCAGCCCGGCTCCCCTCCTGGGATGACTGGAATCCCTTCTCTTCTCCTTCCCCCAGTGGAATGGTGGTTTGTAGAGTGCTCGGGATTGCCACGGCTGCAGAGTAATCCGAGCAGCAGCTGGAGGCTCCGCACCGCCTCCCGTGCCCGGCTTCGGGGCTTCGATTTCTCACAGGGCTCCCTGTCTCTCCTCCTCTCCCTCCTCCTCCTCCTCCTCTGCGGGCCCTCCTCCCCTCTCTCGGGAGCGAAAAGAAGCTTTTTGGTGGGTTTGTGGTGCTGGGAGGCTCGCAGGGTTTCGCAGCTTACTCAAGGTAAGGGGAGAAAGGAGAAGGGAAGGAAAGGAAGGTTTRGAGGGATCGGCTGGATCGGGAGAAGCTGAAAGGTGCAGAGCGGGGGACCTTTCTCCCCGGGCTGCATTGATAAAGGCATGGCAAAAGCTCCCTGCCCGGGAATTTCCCATCTGTAAGTTCATTAAGCTAAAGGAGAAGGTGTGTTTGGGAATGGGGGAGAGGAAGCAGAGCAAGATTTATTCATTCTTTCATTGAAAGAGAAAAAAAAAAAAAAAAAAAAAAAGGAAGAAAGAAAGAATGAAAGAAGCAGGAGGTCAGAAAGTCCGGGGTTCAGCTGACAGTGCACACACCCTGTAAAGTTTTAAGCAGATTCCAGGAAACTTGTTATTAATGCTGCAGTCATTAAAAGGCGCAGCCCACGGCAGATTTATTAGCTCAGTAAACCACAACACGTGCCAAGCTCTCCGGAAACAAAAGGGTCTGGCAACTTCGCTCCTCTTGCCTGGGATTTGGGAAGGCTGGGAGGAGAGCCGTGAGGAGGGAGCCGGTGGCGAGAATGGAGCCGGTGGCTTGTGCCGTGGGGAAGTGGCATCGCCTCCGTTAAGCGACGCTCGCCACCGCGGTTCGTGAATGCAATTCCGCGGCAGCGAAGGCACCGGAGCGCGGCTGTAAGGAAAGCACAGCGAATCCTGCTTGAGCTCACGGTGCTCGTCGCGGCAGTGGGACGAGCAGCCCCCGGGCTCCCGAATGGAAAGCTTTCCCCGTGTGCCTGCCATGATAAATCAGCCGCCGTTCGCCTGAATAACAGCATTCACTGAAGTTACAGTAGGAAACTTGTCTGGGTGGACACTGTGCCATTGCTCTGCGGAGAGCAGCCGCTGCCGATCGCCGGCGTTGCGCTGAAATATCGCATTGATCGCCGCTCCAAAGCTCGGCTGGCAGCACCCGGCTATTGCAGCGGTGAGGAGCGGGGCGAACACCGGGAGAGGAGGCGTCGGGAACGGCAGGGTTAGACCATCGCACCGATCCCTCCGGGAATAAGGAGCACGCTGGATGTGTTAGATGCTGAAAGGACCGGAGGAAGCTGGCACGTCCCTGGGASGATTTGCAGGCTGAACTTGGCTGGGGGCTCGCTGTCGGCAGCCAGGCAAAGCGGGTCAGTGTGTGCCATCGCCCTGGTGCGGGGCATGGCTCTTGTCCCATTGTGACCTGAGGGAGCCAGTCCCAGTGCCTGTCCTGGAGAGGACGTGGGAGGTGCTTGCTCACACACGGGATATAAATGGCCCGAGCAGGACCCGCCACTTCCCTCCTCCAGAGGCGGTGGGAGCGCGGGGTGAGCGATGCTGGACACCGGGGTAGGCAGGAGGCTGGGGGRACAGCACTCAGGCGGATTTTCCCTTGCGGCATCCTGGAGCAGGGCAGGCGTTGCTGGTTTGTGAATGAATTCGAGCAGCTGCTGTCGGAGGCGGTGGGGAGCAGTAACAAAATGCCTGGAGGGAACAAGGACGTGACAGACATCCCAGGGGACATTAATTTCTGATGACAAGCTGGACTGGCAGGAAAGGATGCAGGATTGGGGTGAGGGTCTCCTGCACCCCTGTTCTTTGCAACTAWGTGCAAAGAATAAACCAGCATTGAATGGGTGAGAGGAAATTTGGTAGAAAAGAGAAAAAAATATGCAGAAGTTTTTATGGGGTTTTTGTGTAATTTTTTTTTTTTTTTTGATACAGGAAAAGGCATCCTGTGCTCCCCCAGCCACACAGTGAGCAGCAGAGTGTGCCACCCCTGTGCAAGTCAGAGCTGGGAATACAAGGTGAGCTACCGTCTTCCGGAGGTTTAGARTTTTCCCTCCATCCCTAACTGCTTTTTTTTATCCTCTTTCAGTCTCTCCTCCTTCCTTCTCCTCCTCCTCTCTTGTTAGCTGGTTGGTGGGGAGAAGCAGAGGCTGGAGGGTGGGATGAGACAAGGCATCCTTGTCCAGCAGCCCTCCTGACCCCTAGCAGCCCCAGGCTCTGCTCGGTAGCCGCAGCACTGGCCACCTTGGCAGGCTATCAAAAGAAAGTTCCTAACACCGAGATGTTGAGGGCTGGGAAGAGATAAAGGCTGGCTTGAGCAAGCTGTTTCTTGTCTTAAAACTTGGCACCTGGACCTATCGAGGCAAATGTATGAACRGCTCAGTCATTCATTACAAGGAAATCTTATGATTTTAATTTTTATCACAGTTTTTCTTTCTTTTTAAATTTTCTGGGAGTTTCAATCGTATTCATAATGTACAGCAGGGGGGAAGGAAATACGTGCTTTGGGAATCGCCCCAGCCTCCCCATCTGCCTGCAGACACTGCAAGAGATTAAACCATCCTGGCTGCCTTAGCATGGGACATTCCTGAGTTGCATTAACCAGGCTGGAAATCTCCTGTCAGAGCAGCGGCAAACTGGAAAAAAGCACTTTATCTTCACCTTAATTGACAGAGGGCCATGTGCTGTGTGTAATGTCTGAGTGCCAGCGTCTGTGGGGTTTCTTTTCCTTCCCCTTTCACCCTTCCTGATTCTTGTTTTGCAGTCTGTGTCTCTATGATGCTGACTCTTCTCTCTTCCCCTGATCCTTGCCAGCAGCTCAAACCCAGGGGTGGGGAGAGAAATCACAGAATGGTTTGGGGTGGACCTTAAAGTTTATCCAGGTCTAAAGTCCCAGCCATGGGCAGGGAGACTTTCCACTAGACCAGCTTATTCAAAGCCCCATCCAACCTGACCTTGAACACTTTCAGGGATAGGGACTATTTCTTCAAGGAATTTATTTTTATTTATTTTTTTTTAAATAAGATAATCTTCCTTGGAAAAAATTGACACTCAAACTCCTATTGTGACAAATGAGTCAAACCAGATGTAATTCCTCAACCCCATCAYGTCTGAGGTGACACATGTGCATGGGGCTTGTGTCAATTGTCTCCAAGTGGGRCAGGACATGTGCCGGACCCCAAAATTTCCTGTTTTCCTCCCATCCTTGAGAATGAGATGTCTGTAGCAGTCGGCATAGTGAGGCCAAACTTGACAGAGCAGGATTGAGGAGATCTTTTCTCCAAAGCACTTTAATCACATTGCAAAATKTCAGTTCACATACAAGGGGCAGCCCCTATATCTCTCCAAGACCAAAGCATTGCAATCTCTTGCAACAGATCTCCAACTCAGAGAATTACAGGATCATAAGGTAACAGAACCTGGCCACTCTCATCCATCCCCTTCCCTCCCCCTGGCCTGGCTGCCCGTTTGACAGAGGGCAAGCAAGATTGCTGTCTCTAGAGTGTCCAGGAAGGCAGAACTGGACATGGTGCATGAGGACAGGGGTAACATTTGGCTGGAGCAGTCGTTGCAGTGGCAGTGCTGGCTGGGCACTTCTGTGCGGGGTGAGACCAGGCCATTGTGGCTTGTGCTCCCTTCCCAGTCACACTGGTGGGACTCAAACCTGGGGATGGGACCCCATCCCCAAACAGGAGTGAACACCTCTCAGACCTGGTGCTAGTCATCCTTCAAGCGTCAGGAGGGAAACTGAGGCACTTAAATGGGGATTCATGGTAGCATCAGTGGTGAGAAATGAGTCCTGCTGGGGAAATTGCTCTCCCAACCCACTCCAGAGGACCTTCCTCCAAAATCCTGCACCAGCCAAGAGGGACTSGAGGATCCCAGGCCAAGGAGGGGAGGAAAAGAGTTGAGGAGGTACCACACATCATGGGGCAATGGAGCATCGTCTGGGGTGGGAATCATGGTAGCGATGATGCMCTGCTGGTAAACCCTTTATCAGCTTTACCTAGACCTCCTTTCCCTCCCCAAATCCCCCCTCCTCCTCCCCAAACCCCCCTTCCCAACCTTGTGGGAGACTCACAGAGTGTAATAAATGTCTCACGTGCTTCTCTGGGGTGGGGGCAGCTCTTGAAGCCCTAGCTGACATTCTACTGAGCAGTTTCACTGGCCTTCATTGTTTGCAGCATCACCATACAAGAATTATTGGAGGGGGGGGATGAAGAAAGGCCATGAGGGGAATAAGTTGGGAGCCTCCAGCTGTGCTGTTTGCAACAATGATGGCCAGGATTGTATTTATTATCTCCTCAGTGGAGGGTCTGCAGCTGCACACTGAGAGCCACAGACAGCAAAGGGGCCCGGAGATTATTGTGCATGGAAAAAAAAAAACCAACCACAAAAATAAATAAAAAGCCCACAAAGAATCCCTGGGCCAGCTGGAGCAGTGCCAAGGGGCACCCAGCTTAACTCYCAGTCTCCTCACTTTGCCCTTCCTCACTGAAATCAGCAGCCTCACAGGGCTGTTAGGAGAAGGGAGATTGGCATCTGCTGCCTTTCAGAGAGCTAAAGCTGCAGGGGGGTCCTCTTAAAATTCTTCTGCCGGGGCTGGAGGTGTTGCCCAGCCAGGTTGAATTTCTTTTCSCTCTGCTTTCTCATTATTTTTTCCAGTTCTGGCTGCACCATGACCAAGGCATTGCATTGGAGGCAGCACTGGCACCTGATCTGCAGCCACTTCTGTTGTAATGGATTCAATTGTCCTAGAGATCTTTTCCAACCATAATGATTCCATGATTCAAGGAGAAAGAGCTAGAAAGCCATTAGAGGTACAGGATGATGGGGCTGTGATGAGTTGTTTGCCCTTGGTGTGATGTGTCTCATGAGGGAGAGCAGAGACATTGCCCTGGGATGTATTTCCTTCTCTCCCTCCTCACTTTTGCTTCCTTCCYCCTGCCTAGCTCATCTTCTCCAGGGGAACCCATCCATGTCTATCCATGCAGTGTGGTCTTTCTGCAGCTCAGGCCAGTCCTTTTGGGTGACTGGAAGCAATCCAGCTCAGGGATGTGGGGTACATCCATAGGCATCATACCCTTCCCTCAYTGACMACAGAGCTGCTGKKGGRTCCTTGCAACCKGCACTTCCCTGGCATGGAWCATGGAACCTGCCATCCCAGGAGCATGGGCATGCATGTGGCATTTCCCAGCTGGGCACAGTGACAAGGCTGATCAGCTCTTTTTTACAGCTGAAAGTCAGAAGTGTCCATCATGGGTAAGAGGTTTCCTCTCCCCATGCTGCACCTCTTAATGTTCCTCGCTGGCATATGGTGTTCATCCTGGAGTGCATTCCTCTGGAATTATATCATGTCTCTGGGAGCTGGAGTGCAGCAAAAAAGTATCATCGCGGCCGGAGCCAGCACAGGAACCGGCTGGGGCTGGCTGTCAGGTGTGCGTGGCCAAGGGCTGAGGCTCTTGGGGAAGTTTGCTGGGATCATTTTCGCTTTCAATAATTGTCTAGTTAGGAAAGAGGGAGGATCCTCCCAAGGTAACTGCTGTGGTTTGGGTAAAGCCTGGAGTCCTCACAGGCTCCCTTTGTGCCTCTTAATGCGTTCTTGGACATCAGAAGTGGTYAGGCAGGAGGATGTTGGTAGCTTCACCCGGTCTTTCTACAGCAAAATGCACTAGGGCTGGCATAAAACTCTGTGTAAACCTGTCCTTTGGCTATGAAGCACCATGTGAAGGGCTGGTCTGTTCCCGCGTTTGTGCCAAAATAACAGAGACCTCCCATTCTGGGACGTGTCGCTATGATAAAAATTCTATTCGGGCTGAGTTTGAGATGGTTAAGAAAATATTTGTGCTCCTGGCTGAGACGGAGTCTCTGTTATACTCAGTGAGTGCCAGGATAGCGAGACCTCCTGCTCCTGGAAATGCTCACAGTTAAAAGGGAGAGCAGGGAGGGTGAGAAATGGGAGCTGTTCGGGGTAAAAGAATTCAGGGTGGATGTTGTGCCAGAAATTATTCCAGAGCAGGAGAAAGTCCTGAGCTCTTACATCCCTTTCAGGCACCTTGTTTGACTGATTCCACGCATCCCATGGGAACCAGTTGTGGCTGCCAGAGCTCCCAGTTTGAGCAGTCCTGCAGCTGGAGTAGCCAGGAGGCAATGGTGGGGCTGGGATGCTCACACCCTGCCCACTCCCAGAAAACCCTATGAATCCCTCCCGGTGCTACACCACTCCAACGCCTGCCTTCCCCTGCCCCCAGCCAGTCAGGAGACCTGGCAAACAATTTCCTTTTGGGATTCCCTCTCTGGGCGCAAGCACGGCTTGACTTGAGGCTGGAGAGCAAAATTGCTTTCAAAAGCCACAGGAGACTAATTCCTTCACCTGGAAATAAACTGCTATCAAGCTGGCAGCTTTCTGGGCTGAGCAGAGAAGAGGGAATTCTGTGCAAATCCTGACGCTRTGGTGATTTAATTCCTAATTTTCCTTTGCTGGATGTGGCACTAACATTTTCCCACTTGAGGCAAAAATTCCCTGAAGTTGGGCTGCTCTTCCCTCACAAAATGTATCTTTTCAAGGCACACAGCTCTCGGTGTGGCAGAATTTCAGCCACATATATAAATGAGCTGGAAGTTACAGCATGGGCTGGCAAACCTGCCTGCACATGTTTTCCTTTTGTCAGATCCCAAAATACACCACCCCGCACCTTGATTTCCTCCTTCAGGGGCAATGAGGGATGCCAGAGGGGGAAGATTGCACAAGTGGAATAAACTACTAGCTGTTTAAGCACTAGGATAAATTATCTGTGGCCTCTTGCAATGCAAATGGGAATTGTGACATTAACAGTTGTAACAGAAATTATTTTAATAGATCCTCCCATTGTTTTATTAAATAAAGGAATTTTTATTTTACATTTAAAAAAAAAATAGAACAGAAACTTTCAGCCGAGCAAGGGTGTCAGTTTCTTCTCCCAAATAACTAGCAATAGGACAAGAGGAAACAGCCTCAAGTAGCACCAGGGGATGTTTA